GTGGCACATCTGACATAATGTTTTACTTTTGTCCATGACGCGCTTACCTTCAGGGTCATGCTTCACATGAAAACCAAAATCGTTCCAAAGGCCAGATATGAATGAGGGTGGGGTAGGTTCAATTTCGGGTAGCGTTGAGGCAGTGGCCATGTTGCAACGAGCTTCTGTCTCTCTAGCTTGCGCTGCGCTCAGTGAATCTGCGCTTGACAGTGCAGCCTAGGCGGAGTAGTCGAGCGTAGATCCAATGAGCTCTCAACACAGACAGCATCATCAGAAGAGAAGTTGATAAAATAAATTAAAAATTTTGTATTGTTCGATACATCTGCGTACCGAAACGAAAGCACTGTATCGAACGGTTCAATACCGTATAATATATATATATATATATTTTAAAAAAATTCCCTGCTCGCCCCTGTGGGTGGTTAATCCTTCAAGCTCGGGTCCTCTACCAGAGGCCTGGGAGCTTGAGGGTCCTGTGCAGTATCTTAGCTGTTCCTAGGACTGCGCTCTTCTGGACAGAGATCTGCGATGTTGTTCCCTGCATCTGCTGGAGCCACTCGCCTAACTTGGGTGTCACTGCAACTAGTGCTCCGATTACCATTGGGACCACTGTCACCTTCACCCTCCACATCTTCTCGAGCTCTTCTCTGAGCCCTTGGTATTTCTCGAACTTCTCGTGTTCCTTCTTCCTGATGTTGCTGTCATTTGGAACAGCTACATCGATCAACAAAAAATGTTTCTCAAGTTGTCTTGATCCATGCTCAATCATCCAGCGTTCAGCAATCCTCCCAGTGTAATGTCAATGTAATGTCACCATGTTAGCACGTTACTCTGCAGTTGATAAATCTACAGATATTTCTGCAGTTACCTGTGCTGTCAAAGGCATACAGGCTGATTCATATCCTGAAAAACTGTTGACTGAAACCTGGCCTAGGATGATGCAGCAACATTATTTTAAATGACAATTTAAAGAGACAGTAATTTAAATTCTTCAAAATTTAACACACTAAAAAGAAATGCAGAGTGCAAAGGTTTAATATGAAGCTCTGTTTTACAGTAAGTTAAACAAAGAAGATCTGTGCTCACATATCTGCTCACATCGCACTGTGTTTTTATCAATTCTTAGCTAATCAAGAAACAGAAACAATTAAATGTAAGAAACTGAGGGGTTTGTTTCACTATTATTTCATTAAATAACAGTAACATTATTCATAGATTTTCACAGCTTACCATATTAATTTCCTTCAATTGTGTGCAAGTGATGTGTTGTATGAGAGAGTGGGGGAGGTAGGGCTGGAACTTGTAAGACTGGAAGGTAGAAAACTGCTCCCTGAAGTAGAGAACAAGCAAACAACTGGCTCTTTAGGCACCCCCATTCAGTAGTTAGGAAAATGTAAGCTTGGAACCCTCAATGACAATGTTCTGTGGTGATGGACTGAGCAGTGAAGGAAAGTCCCCCCAAAAAAGTTTTTTTATTTAACTTTTTAAGACCTCCCATATGGAAAAGAAATAGTAAAAACATATATGATTTACTCATGAAAGTGGCCACTTTCATGAGTAAATCATATATAAATCATATAAGGCTTACATGATTTACTCATGAAAGTGGCCACTTTCTCATTACTTTCATATATTTTTTTTAGTAAG